AGCCATAGAGGACATCGCTAAGCGATCGCTCCAGCAATGGCCAAAAGTCCATCGCTAAGCGATTTCATCGCTCAATGGAGCAATCGCTAAGCGAGGCACCACTGTATAACTAAGGGAATCTAATGTATTGATCACTTTGTTATAATTTTTACTCTGCTGTTTTTTCAGGATATAGTTTATGCAAACCAAAACAGATCTTGCAACTCTTTAAATATCTGATCTCTCAGCTTTTACATGTCTTGTATTGATTAGCTGAGTAGGTTTAGCCAGGTTGTTACACCGCTGAAGTTTCAACAGGTCCATGGTTAACTCATCCATTAGGAAGCTGGAATACTTTCTGCTGTTGGCGTATGTTGGGTTCTAAACAGCGTGCAGCTGCTTGAGTTGTAAGCAGATCAGCAGCCCTTCGGCCTGGCTAGCTGCTGAAACATGGTGAATGATGGTGAGGTCAGAACAGATTTTCCCATTCTGACACAACAATAAGGAAACAGGTTTTAAGGGGTAGAATAATCCCATGATACTGGCAGGTACACTGGCTAGCAGCCCAGACTAATCTGTGGTAGGAGTTTGTTGCAGAATCAGACTTTCTCTGTATGTCATCACCATTCTCTGTTTGGTGAACAGAAAACCATTTGGCTAAACCCAACATTAGTCCTACCTAAAGGAGAGCCACTGAAATGCATGGGACTTAGTAGCCATATCTGTTTTATAGATTCCAATCCCCCTCAAAAAAAACCCCAGAGTGAATCTTGTGGTCCTTCACACAATGGAAAGGAGAAGTGATACCTTTATTTAGACAAAAGGTCTAAAACTTATAGATTCCAACCCCCCCCCCAAAAAAAAACCCCAGAGTGAGTCTTGTGGTCCTTCACACAATGGAAAGGAGAAGTGATACCTTTATTTAGACAAAAGGTCTAAAACCTTTTGGTCTTTGAGCGCGAGCTCTCATGAATCAGATTAACTTGGCCTAAATCCAACTGCTACTACCAAAGCCTTAGAAACCATTGCTGAATGGCAAACCTTATGTGAATCCCATTGATTCAACCTATCTATTCTCCTTTTGGTCTTTGAGCACGAGCTTTCGTGAATCAGATTAACTTGGCCTAAATCCAACTGCTACTACCAAAGCCTTAGAAACCATTGCTGAATGGCAAACCTTATGTGAATCCCATTGATTCAACCTATCTATTCTCATTGATGTAATTTAGACCCAAGTTTCTACTCTACGTCAGTAATTTTTTATTTAGCTCCTTATTATGAAATTAGTTGCAAGGAGCAATATTGATGGGAAAGGAAGTAGGCATTTAGGCAGGGAGTTTCCAATTCAATTTTGCATTTCTAAAACAGAATCAGCACACTAAATTGCACTCAGATGGCTTTGGATCAGGACATCCCTAAGAGGCAAAATTTTTTTGCTATTTCTATTAGAACATGCCTCATAAACTACTTTCTTACATATTGTACACCTCCAAACAGTTTAAAGAGTAAGTATACACAAAGCCTGTTGTATTGGTTGATGACTATGAAGGATTATTAGTCATACGAAAGAGGAGGTTTCTCCCATCTCCACCCCAAGAATTTCCAAACAAGTGCCTGAAGTGCCTGGTCTCATTCCCTGATATTGTCATTTTTTGCCAACGATCTCCTCAGTTTTGCTACTGAAATAGCAAATTGAAATATGTTTGTAATTTCTACCTGTTCAGAGGCTTGAGAAAGCTGGATGCATTATTTACCATTAAATTCCTTTGGAAGCAGTGCAATTTACTTTTGTATTACTTGATAAAAGAAATAATTCATGCTGTGAGGCAACACTTGTTGTACAACACTTGTGGTACAACCCTTGTTTTGTTAACAGTTTGCCATATTCTGTTACAGGCAACATCAGTGTCTAATTCATTAGGGCTCGGAAAGACCCTGTAGAGACATCAGCTAGAAGAGTTCGTATTGAAGGGGAAATGGTCTGGTTTGAGCCTGATGGATTCATATTGTTATGGAGGATGTCGATAGACAATACCAGAAAATCTATGGCAAAATTAATGCATGTAGAGTTTGTTGCTGCTACCTGAACTTGTTAGCAGCATATTCAACATCCTTCTGTGCTTTCGGCAATCTTTATTTTTTCTTATTTTCCTGTGCTCCATTTCTTTAAACAGTTTTCTTCCATCTCAGTTCTAGTTTCAGAGTAAGGCTAGGCGAGAACTGTTGAAATCAAGGCAAGGGAAATGGGTTTCTGTTATTTTCCCTGTGCACTCTTTAATGTGAAGAGTAAGTGCCCCTCCCCATTTATATGAATTGGGTGGTCATGTGGGGAAAAAGGTTAGCTGGATAGCTCAAAGAGTTAAGTATCTGGTTGAGAGTTTGATTCTACACAGTGGCTCCTGGGAGAAGAGGCAAACTGTGTTGGGCAAGCTGCATAGCTCCAGAATGCCCACAGAAGATGGGAACAGTAAACTACTTCTGAGTATTCTATACCTAGAAAACCCTGCAAAAGTGTCACCATAAGTAAAAATTGACCTGATGGTTGGGACAAAAAACCACCTGTGGTTTGTTCAATCATGTTTGGTTTTTAATGTTAATGATTTTTTTTGACCAGCAGCTAGACAACGTTTTATTTTAAATACTTTTAGCTTGCCTCATAACTTAGAATGTAAAACAGAAACATTTAAATTTAAATATTTTGACATATTGGTAAACTGCTCTTGATCATTGGCCTATATTCTTGCCTTAGAGGTAGCAAAGTTTGTTTACCTCTTTGTTTGTTGAATTTCTGTGTGCCCTTTTTACTTGTGAAGAAATTCAAGTAACCTCCAGTTGACCTGGAAATCTATACAGTATATTAAAAAACACCACCTTCCAAAAATGAACACAGAAGGAAAGAAATCTTCTATATCCATAATAAGTGTTATTGTCTCAAGTTCCTTTTCTTATTCGTGTTTTATTCTGCTTAATTCTATCACATCATGCATGACAATAGATACATGCAGATAGCTACTGATAGACACACCTTATCCTTTAAACAAATGACATCTGACCAGTAATTTAAAACACATTATTTGTAGAATAGTATTTATTATACAATATCTCCTGTCCTGGTTTCTAGAATAACCTTTTAATAACCTGATAAATCTAGTGATTTTTGTCTAGTTAATCTGACAATGTATATGTAAAAAACCCAACAAACTCCCAAAAATGAACAATGAAGGACAGGAGTTATATCTTATTGTTTTCTTAACTTCCTTTTCTTATTTGAGTTGCATTATGCACATTTATGATACATGTTTCACAGACTGAAGAATTGTATTATAATCATCCTGGAAACAAAATAAAGATAAAATTTCAAGAAATTGCAATACAAAAACATGCCTCTACTTCCTGTTTGCCACTTTGTAGTAATCTCTGCTGTTGTCTTGCATAAATCTGCAACAGATTGTAGTGTTGTATTGGAAGGACATGTACCTCTGTGAACTGGGTAGCATGCCGTATAGCATAGCTGCATTCTAAAATGCCAGGGCTTTTCGGGCACCTTGGGAATTTCAGTAAGCCAGACAGTGCTGCATGCTAGTACAAGTACAGAGAACCGTGTGGCTGGTGACTTAGGTCTGCTTGGAATTCCTTTAGGGTTGGGAGTGGAGGAACTGCACCTGTGGTTGTGAAATGGAGGCTGGTGTGCATGCAGGTGGTGAGAAAGGAAAACTTTAGGATAAAAAGAGGTTAGAACAGGAGTGGAAAGAAAGAGACAGGCTAGAAAGTTGATGTGAAAGTCAGAGCAGGAAATAATAGTTTTTAGTTCTTATCACACATCCTTGAGACAACAATCACATCTTTCACAAATGCCCGCTTCTCCCTCTTCCCATACAAGGAGGCACATCTTTAGCTAATTCTTTACAGTTGGTGAATACACCTGGTTTCACTGGTCCCTTTATCCTCTGTACAAGAGCAAAAGCAATTACATTAAACCAAAAAAACAATAGGAAGAATCTCAGGATTGACAGTGGAGAATAGCCAAATATCATAGAACTGAAGCTGCTATTCCAGGATTCTGTTCTGTTCTGTCCGTTCCCCCCGCCCCCCGTTTTCATTACATAATAATTGGAAATTGAAAAGCATACACTTTTCAGCTCCAAATGTTAGAAAACACCCTGCGTTTTGCAAAAGCGTATAGCATGTCCTCATTGATTGAAAACAAAGCAGTGGATATGGTGATCTTCAAAAAGTACCAGCCTTTAAAATGTGCACAGTAGTGTAAAGACTTTACACCAGCTGAAGTGACCTATACGTACTCTTATAAATTCCTACTCAGCTAGGCATGTACAGTATAAAACTACAGCCACAATAGCCACGTTCATTATCTATTAAGAGGAGGAGATTTAATATTCTTGTTTGTAACCGTTTTCAGATTCCTAATGTGGCATGTACAAGCATGATTTCAGAACCCTTATGTCTCGTTAACATGTTAAGGGAATTTTGATCCAACTCTATTTTTGCTGAGCAAGACCCAGCAGATCTAGGAGAAATCGTCTGAGTCATTTTAAGAAATGTGTAGATTCCTAAATAAGCAATAAAATACCACTTTGACTGTTACTCCGCATGTGAGTGGAGTGTGTAGCTTTTTCAGATACTTCATGGGAATATTTAATCTTTTGCTGTTCAGAGTCAGAGAAACAGAAATACGATCTTGACTAGAGGTATTTAAAAATTACAAACAAATAGAAATCTAAACAAGGAACACCCCCCCTTCACCTTCCCCCTCCTTTAAAACACTTTTTTTTTCAAATTATTTGAGGACTGGGATCGTAATTTTCTTTCCTTTACTCTTTTTTTCTGCTTTTTTTTTTTTTTGGACTACACCTCCAAACATTCCCCAGGCAGCATGGCCCCTGCCCATGTCAGCTGAGGGATTCTCCAAATTCTAATAAAAAAAGAGAGCTAACTTCCCCCTCAGCAATTGCAAGCCTCCACATTATGCCTCAAACATCATTTGAAATTATTTTAAAAGTTACCTGTCATTTGTGTAGCTTTTCTTCTGGTTTTGTTCCTTTCCTTGGAGCAGTGTCTGTAGGATGCATTATCTTCTCCCCAAAATTAAAGTTCCGTCTGTTTTCACCAGCACAAGAGTAAAGATATGTTGTTAGTTGAAGTATGCAAAAAAAAAAAAACCCTCTGGGCAAGGTGAATTTGTTAATCTGAGCAGGGGGAATTCAGAACCTGGATGAATGTGTTCCACCTTCTGAACTTCTTATGCCTGATCAGAAAAGTCCCAGCCAGAAAGAACTCAAGCAACTGGCTTTCTCAGTACCTAAGGATGACTCACAATAAGGTAGCGTAGGTAAGATTTTGAAACTTGGGGCTCATGTCTGGAGACTCTGGAATGGAATTAAAGTTACAGAGTGTGATTAAATTGCAACAGTGTTGTGAAGAGGTAGAAAACATATTTTACATTAATAAAGGGTGTTTATGGAGAAAGTATTTCATTTGAGGTGTTTGTGATGTGTGTATAATATGTGTAAGAAGCACTATTTTAAAAACTGACAGTTTCAGAAATCACTATAATTAGGGCAGAGGCAGACTTTAAGCTAAGTCCATTGTATTGTATGCGAGGAATTCAAATCATAGATTTCAAGTCAGTTTCAGCTAATGGTGATTATTCCCAGGGCTTTCTAAGTATTGAGTATTGAGTACCCAAAAGTAGTTTACTATTCTGTTATTATATGGCACCCTGGAATTGTGCAAGATGCTCAAGGCTAAACAGAATGGCTTTTCTCTCTGGAGGCATTGAACCCTTAACGTTTGACTTCACAGTGGGGAACGAAATACACTACCCAGCTCCTAGCTCCAACTCACTGAGCTATCCTCAGCTACTCCAGCTATATCAGAGATTATCAGGATGAAACAATAAATCTTTCATGTTTTGAGGAACTCCTCATCAGTCTAGATCAGGGGTCTCAAACTCAATTTACCTGGGGGCCACAGGAGGCTTTCATCCACCTCCCATGAGGTGAACTGTTGCTCTTTTTTTGAAAACATCATAATGTAACTTGCTTTAATTCGTAAACTGTTTCCTGACACCAAATGCGAGCCACTGAGCATGGCAGACACCAAGGGAATCCTGGTTCACTCAGAAAAATATCAGTAACCAAACATGACTGACACACGTCTTGATTTAGTGGTTTCATTAACTGGTACTGCCAAAGTTTGAGGTAGATAGGTTGGATTTGCAGAACTTTATATTGCCTCATCTAAACAAATTCCTTTGAGCTCATCTGAAGCCTTATTTAGAAATTAAGCTGAAATCATATACAGTGGCACCTCGACTTGAGGACATCCCTACATAAAAATGATTCGAGTTAAGAGCGGCCTTTTTTTTGACCTAAGTTCACCTTAGGTCAAAATAAGAAAAAAAAAATTAAAATCTTTCCTGACCTTTTTTTTTTTGACCTAAGTTCACTTTAGGTCAAAATAAGAATTTTTTTTAAAAAAATTGCCCCCTACTGGTAGATATGGATTAACCGGCTTTGCATTAGTTCCTGAGGAAACTAATGCTTCGACTTAAGAACGTTTCGACTTAAGAACACAGTCCCAATACGGATTAAGTTCTTGAGTCGAGGTACCACTGTAAGGCTGAGAGGGTGATGGGGAACAATCTCCCCCTGGAGATTCGTGCAACCCCTACGCTGGGCATTCTTTTTCTCTCCTTTTCTTCTTTGCCACCTTGAATAGTTTATTAATTTTTAGCTTATGTTATAATTTTTATGTGTGTATATTTGTATGTTTTTATCCATGCATTGGAAGCCGCCCAGAGTGGTCGGAAGACCAGATGGGCGGGGTATAAATTTAATAAATAAATAAAATAAGTGCTATTGTTGTATGTGTTGTTGTGAATTATGGTTGTAAAAGGGTTAAAATTTAGCTCTGAGTTATTTGTATTCTGGGTGCATTCCTTTCCATCTCACAAGTTGAGGCTTGTCATGTTTGTTGCTGTTGTTGTCATGTGCTGTCAAGTTACCTCTGACTTATGTCCCTGTGAACGAGAGAGGTCCAAAATGCCCTGTCCTCTGCAGCCCTGCTCAGCTCTTGTAAACTCAAACTGGTGGCTTCTTTTAGGGAGCCAATCCATCTTATATTTGGTATTCCTCTTTTCCTGCTGCCTTCAGCCTTTCCCAGCATTATTGTCTTTTCTAGCAAATCTTGGCTTTTTATGATGTGCCCAAAGTATGCCAGCCTCAGTTTCATTAATTTTTTCTGAGAGAAATAGTTCATACTTGACTTGCTCTAGAATTCACTTCCTCATTTTTCAGGCAATCCAGGGTATCTGTAAAGCTCTCTTTTGTACCACATTTCAAATAAATAACGTTTTCCCTATGAGCTTTCTTTACTGCTGCTACTTTCTGTGTACAGCTTTCACACCTGTACAGAATGATCGGGAATACAACAATGTGGATGATATTGGTCTTCTTACACTTGATGATATTTTCTAATTCCTTTCCAAGTCTCAATCTTATTCTGATTTCTTGCTGGATTGATGGTTGTGAACCACGGTACTATACCATATAACTCTTTCAATTTCTGTATTGTCAGTATTAAAGCTGTATAGTTTCTTCTGTAGTCATTTTTTTGTCATTGTAATGTTCAACTGCAGTACTGCTTTGGCACTTTCTTCTTTCTTTGTCATGTATACTCAGCATATAACTGGAAAGATTACATGATTTTAAAGAGGTAGTAAATGGTGCCAAATATAAAGCAATGGTGGGGATGAGCTATGGAGGAGTCACCTTATAAAATGAACATTATATTTTAAAGTTAATCCTTGAAGGAGGGCCAGGACCATTGTAATGAAACCTTTGAAGCCCATCCATCCCAGGCAGTTCAAAATGATATGCCAGAATCAATTGAATCAAATGCCACCAAGAGGTTCTGTAAAACAAACAAAGAAGCATTCTCCCTGCCCAGGTCTTGGTATTGCTCATCTATCATGGTCACCAGAGCTTGTTTTATAATCTCATATAAGAATGGAAAGAATATACCAGCACACAACATCTTGTCAAATAATGGCAAGTTGGAGACTGGTTGGAAATTACTCAATGTGATGTGAAATAGAGACAGCTTCTTTAGTACATATTTCACATTAATCATTTGAAGAAGCATTTGCTAAAGAAACATTCACTGCCCTCTGCACTCATTTAATCGTAGCGTCTGGTTTAATAGACTAGGAGGGACAAGAATTAAGGGTGCATGTGGCTGATCTGATATTGCTAAGGCTCTTGCTCACATCTTAAGTATTGTATAAATGGAAATGTATCTGATATATATAGGGCAAGTCTACATATCATACATTTCCATTTATACAATACTGTATAAACTATATACTGTATACTGTATTTTCTTCCTTGAAGCCTGATTTAAGCCCAATATTAAAGAGTATAGGAAGCAACCAACTTTATCCTCCAAAGAATATAAAGGAGATTTGTCTCTTTAGTTTATCCTACTCGTGGCAGCCCTCTGCTAACTGACAAGTCTTTTCATGAAGTCCTCCAGCTTGTGAAACAGCCATGGCTACAGTAGCTGCAGCAAAGTTTGTTTGCTCTCACATGACAGAGCACCAATCTGCCAATAGGCTAGATGCTGTTTTGATTCGTTCTTCAGAAAAGCCAGGGAGATTAGATATTTTTTTTTGACAAATAAGAAGAACAAATCAAGCCTGAATTCTTCTTAGAATAGAAAATGACTAAGCTGTGGCTTTTGTTCTTTGCTAATATCATGAGAAGACAAGACTCACTGGGGAAGACTGAAGGCAGCAGGAGAAGAAGCCAACCAAACATGAGAGGAAGTGACTCAGTAAAGGAACCCAGGGCCTTTATAAGACTGAACAGGGCTGTTAGTGACAATACCTTTGAGAAGTCACTAATTCATAAAGTTCCTTCAAATGCATATGTTGCCTTATCAATTGACTGACAAATGACTCATCAGGGACAGGGACATAATGCAAAAATAACCATCTGCTGTTGCTGTCTGCCTGTTATCCTCTATGTAAACTGGTAGGCATTTCCCCTCTCCTCACTTTTGAAGTTCTGACTGCCAGCTCTGCCTCCCACCCACTATTCACTCCCAACAGAGCCACAGCATGAGACACTGTTTGAATCCATCCATCCTGCTGAACTGTACTACTTCAGCCTGAATGCTCATCCTGCTACTGATTGATTTCTCCATCCATCCATAGCATATATTTTTGTCACCTGGAACGCTGAATATCAGGAAAAGGAATCTGTCCTAGATTTCTCCATTGAAATGTCCATTTTTTTTTTGGTATTGGCCTGGGACTTGAGTCATGTCTCTACCGACTCATCATACTCACTGGAGTTTGGGCAGTGACTTTCTGTCCACATGCCTACCTGATAGGGTTGTATTAAGGAGAAAATGTGGATTTATATGTTGTTTTGTGCACATTGGAACAAACGTTGAATATAAATGTAATAAATAAATAAGGGAAGCATATTTAGTCATGTATATCAAACTGGTATCCAAGATGTTGGTAAGCCCAAAGAGGATTTACTGCCTAGCTCTTCCTGAAACTGTAGTTTTATTTGAAGTTTTACTATCTGCTATGCAAGATATTATGACAAGTCTAAATAAAGATGCAGTGTCATAGACAGTACTTGTTTTAATAGGCATAATGCTGCTTCTTATTTACTTGTCCACAGGTTGTGATCAGCAAAAACTGTACCATGCATTATTTTGGCCCCTCATTCTATCTACTATGATGAAACCTTCTCCTCCACCTCTACCACCATCACCACTGCGGGCATCACTGGAATTTATTTATTATTTTGACATGTGATGGGGTGATTCTTTATGTGACAGGCTCAAGGCACTTCTAGGTCATCTTCTGTCATGCTTCCTTGCAAGTTCTTCCTCCACCTTCTCCAAGAACTTACAAGGAAATCTTGCAAAAAGAAAACAGATCAGATGTGATCCACTCCTTTATCTTCTTTCTCTACAACTCATCTGCCAGTAGCTCACCAGCAGAGGAGGATTTCCCTCTGCCTGTCTGTGCTCAAAATTGGGTTGCCTAGAATGATGCAGCAATTTCCAGTGTTTCG